GTTAACTTACAAGACTCAATGAATAACTATCACCGACATATTTCCCTTTCATTTATAAAAGCGTGGCACCATAGAACTTGTAAGATTCAAATGTGAAAACAGTGAAGCTAAATATAACTTATAAGACTAAAATTTAAGCTGCTGTGACCAATAAACAACTTTTATTTAACTTTTAAGAATGATTAGGCCCAATTCTTAGGATCTTAAATACCTTACGTAAATTCTACTTCCAGCGTATGTCAGTTAAATTTTAAAGTCAATGTAACTGAACTATACTTATAATCATTATCAGTATTACTATTAGTAGTATTAGTACTATTACACACTTTACTAATTCATTTCTACCCAGTGCAACTGCCCGTAACAAAATCGTAGCCAACGTTAACACAGATAAACATAAAAAGGGATCGAACTTCGATATGTTCAAAGTTTTAAACATATACTTAAACTTATATTTTAATTTTATATTAACAATAACGGCAACATCTTGTGAAAAATAAGTAATTTGAATCCCTAACATATAGACTTAAAAGCAGTCAGTCTGCCTCGAAATAAAAGGATTTTTTGTCAAAGAATTAATTGAAACGTTTTATCTTACTTACCTTTTCTTTTTCGGCTTTTTGGGTTTTCATATTTCTTATAACATCACCCTGCAGTTTAATAGATTCAAGCAACACAGCTCTATCAGAGTCGGCCATCTTGACCATGTGGCGAGTTACACTTAAGATTACTCATATTGAGTCATAATATACCTCCACCTTCTTGCCAGCACCATTTAACCAATCACATATTTACTGCGATATTCTACCGTCGCAGAGTGTAACGATAAATACTTTTTTAAAGGATAATAATAAAAGTTGTATATTCGATCTAATTATAAACTCGGAATTATCTTTTTGCAAATGTCTTTACTGTAATTTCATTGCTTAACTGATGAACTTATATTTAATTTCGAAATATTATATCAGAGGTGGTCTTTATCGATCATTCAAATGAAAAACATGTATTGTAAAAATGTATTTTATCTATTTTTTAACTATTATGCTTCTAAAAATAGTTTGTTTGTTTTTTGACAGATTGGGTGAATTAATCAATGAATTATTCAGTGAATTAGTTGATCACATCAGTGCCAGTTAGTGAGTTAGACTGTTAGAATCCGTCATGGCCAGGTGGTTAGGGCGCTCTACTCGCAATCTGAGGGTCGCAGGTTCGAATCCCACTATTCATTGGTAAGGGAGAAGCCAAGGAGTTGGCGGTGAGTGGTGAAAAATAACTGTTTTCCCTCTAGTTTTTCACTGCTAAATTAGAGACGTCATGTAGCTTTGCACGAAACTCAAAAACAATCAATCAATCAAAAACAACCATCTGTTACGACAGCGGAGGTCACGTGACTCTAGTAACACGTCATGCGCTTCTAGAACGTTCATGCCCCTTCTTGAAGCCTTGAGAGGTTACTAGATATGCGGTATTCTTGTATATAAGCCAACAAGAAGTGACGGCAACAATATAAATGTAATTAAACTGCGAACAGAGAGAGACATATTGTTGGGTCGAGCGCGTGTGACATTCATTGTGAATTATAGCGTTTGTTTAAGTTATAGTGTGACCGTTGAAATTAAGTGAATTGCAAAGTTGTATTCAGAAAGAATAAACCAGTTTTATTTAAGAAATGACTTGTATCGCTAAAGTTTATTCGGAAAGAAATTATACTGTTACGTCTCCGTTTGTTAATTAACTTTCCGTAACTTCGTTCCGACGAAACTTTAGCGACACAAGTCCTAACTTAATAAAACTGGTTTATTCTTTCCGAATATAACTTTACGATACACTTAATTTCAACAATCGCGCTAAAACAAACGCTATAACAACAAACGTGCTCAATAATACTCTCTGACTGCAGATCAATTACTCACTGTCTACACTCACCTCACATTCTCCTTTCCGTCACGTTGTCACCCTCTTTTATATACCAGACTACCCTATATCTAGTAAATGCTAGAGCATTCGCCAAAGTACAGGATAGTTCTAGAAAGTAGAGGGCATGAGAATAGTCACGTGATCTCGATGACGCAACACTGCCCCCTCCTTAATATTTTTCGTCCCGAACAATAACCACATACATTAAACCAATAACAATTAACAATAACTTAATTAACTGTACAGAATTACAAACACAAAATTACACTTCACAAAGTCTCTTAATTTTACGGGACGTATCTTCTTCCGTACTGGTCTCCGTCTTGTTGGCTTCTGCTTCATGTGGAGTTCATCTGCATCATCAGGAAATCTCCTATCATCGGTAACAATCACATCAGTGGTAGTAACTTCATCAAGAGCTTCACCGTTTCCCTTCTCAATACTGAGTAGAGTTTCTTCTTCGATGGTGGCTTCTTCAGGTGTCACGTCTTCAGCAGCGTCATTTGCTCTGTGGTCCACTTCGTCCCAACTGAAATGTCCTGGACCGTGATAACGCCAAAGCCTGTTGGCATGCACCACTTTTGGTTTACCTCGCCGACCACATTTTATCCGGAAAGTCACGTCTGAGAGACGATCCACTATGTCATATGGGCCTTCCCATGGATAAGACAACTTAGGAGACTTCCCTTTGGTCTTCCTGGGATTATACAACCACACCTTGTCTCCTGGTTCAAAGCTGACCTCAGTAGATCTCTTATCATAAGTCAACCTTATCGAATCAGTAGACGTTTTCAAGCTTGTACACACCTGATGGTGAACATCAT